ACACGAATTTTCTCGCTAATCGCGAACAAAAGCTATCGTCGATCCACGACTTACCCCTCCGCCAACCAGCGCACAGAAAAAAAAAAAGAAAAAACAAAACTAACGACGCCGACCCACGTGAATGGACGACGCTGCCAAACCAAAGCCCAATAATTTCTTTTTATCTATCCCTAAGCGCTTCGCGTGCCTCTCAACCCGGCACACGCAGCATCATCTTGGCCATATCGCAACATCAAGCATTATCAACGCAGGCGCGAATGCCCTCCTATGAGGCCATAATATCGGCATAATCTCAATGCCAAGTTGAAAGATAGACAAGGGCCTCCTTCGAATGGCTATATCAGTCCCGATAATGGCGAATAATGAAAAGGCGAAAGCCCAAGAGCAGTGGGCCTGGCTACGATCGACTCGGTACGCTTTACATTTTCAAAGTCTACGAAGAAGCGCGACAAAAGGGTAAAAAACAAAAAGAGGAGTGGCGCGCCCAAGTGATACATAACGTCCCTAAATTGGAGGCTATGGCGCCGACGTCTAGCGCGCACAGTGGCTATTGATCGGGGGTTGCGACGGCGCGGGACTCCTCGCGTTATCCACCTCGAGACTTGCCAGCGTGCCGACGGCAACGACGTCCACGACTAGTCCCGTACTAGGCGTCCGAGCCAGCGACGAGTCTCGTAAAGAGAGAGAGAGAGAAACTAATACATATATAAGCATACTCGACTCGAACACGCACACATACACGTCGTGCACGGAGAGAGTGAAAGAGAGAGAGAGAGAGAGAGAGAGAGAGAGAGAGAGAAAGAGAGAGAGAGAGAGAAAGAGCTTTTACTGAAATCATGGCGCGACAATTTTCCCTCCTCGGCTCCGTTCTTCTCTTCGTCAGTGAGTATACATCGCGTGTGATCATACCCTTACCCTCCAGGATGTGCATCATAGCAAACGGCAAAGATTTACTACTCGTCTTTTCGAGTATTTTAACGGGTTGGAGGTGCTTGCTCGGCTATACTTGAGGCAATGGGGAGAAAGGATTTGTTTTGCTTCGATGATGCCCGATAATCAAAGTGGCCGAGTCTCCCGTTTAAAGTGCGACCCAAACCGACGACTATTATCTCGTCGAAGCGAGCAAATCCATGGACGTCCCTTTCCCAGGGATGCCTCGCACGAATCGATTGATTCTCGACGTCTCGCGCCTCCTCCGTCATCGACTCCATCTCCACCTCCACCTCCGCCTCCGCCTCCGCCTTCGCCTTCGCCCTCGCTTTCGCCTCCTGCTGCATCATAATTCTCCAAATTGCTAAAATGTCGTTCCATCTTCAGTTGCAGGAACCCCGTGGCATGGTTCGGCCCTCGTACTGCCGACTCACACGACGGCAAGACCCCGGGGTGACCCTGACACTGACGAGCCATTTACAACCAAGCGCAACGCCGTCCTCTACTTCGACCTGCCGAAAGTCACGCGTTTCCCGCTCGTGAGTCTCCACTGCACGTACACACACACACACACACATATATATATATATATACTTTACTGAAAAACAACGCGAGAGGCTTTGTTCCTATACCGTCCATACGAACGAGCGTCTTTTATTATTTATTTTATCTTCATTTTTCTCGCAAGAAATTTAAATGCTGCATGGGGTGGGCGAGGAAATAAACGAGCGTCGCGCCTTCTTTTCTCGCTGCGCGCTTCTTTAAGATAATACGTTGGGCTGTTCGCTTCTCGATTACTTATTATTTAATATCTTTATTACAAAGGCCGTGTGCTCAGGCGCACATTACCCATTTTTAATTTTTATATATGTATAATGCGCCTTCTGTTTAAGGAACATTTTCATTCGCCTTTCTTCTTTCGCTCAGAATTTTCGATTATCATCAACATTCCATATTAATCATTTACTTTGCCATTTGTTGTCGTCGTGTCGTAGCAGGTTCGTCGCCATATAAACTTGTAATCTTCCAACTTTGTTACATTTTCATCTACAAAAATTTTTTTTCTTTTTTCTCTTTTACAATCTTCGTCAAAGTAATTTTCATTAGAAACGATATTCTCACATTTGTGTTAGAATTATTCGCTACTTGCTGATAATGTACTTTTCTTCGCCTTAAGAGATTTTATGATTTCTATCAACTTATGTAACGTAATGCGAACCTTAAGAAATTCATATTTGGTGGACTTTTAACCAATAGAGGAGCGGTTAGTATTATTATTTCATGCCCATTTATTGCATTGTTTCCAAGCATTAAATATCTTTATAAAAACGTCTTTTTACGTTGTTAGCAAATTGCATTGGTTTATTTATAAAGACAATTTAGTCTCTTTTGTTTTCATAAATCTTTTCATTAGTAATTACGCTATTGATTACGTGGAAAATATCATTCGACTATTCGATACTGATCTTCATTTTTATGGATATTTATAATTGTGAGAAATGAAAATGTAAGAAACTCTGATAGTACCAATTATTCTAATTGTAACAATTAGCAAATTCTAATTTTCATCGATACAACTGTAGCATTAAAAATGAATACTAAAACGAAAATGTACAAAATTACTAATGTATTTACTGTCAGTTGTTAGTATATATTTCATTTAACCATTTTGAAGAAAACATGTTTTTTTTTTTATATTTCATGTTACTAACTTTACTAAATTTATTATTTATAAGATATAAAGCACACTTAAGTTAAACATTAAATCTAAAAGTTGTGTGAATAGAAACGTTAATTATTTTATTTTATAGCCATTATTTTGTCAGAGCAGCATTGTTCACTTAATCCGAAATCTAATATACACAAACACATTTATTTACTCATCATAGCTGTCATAATTCCCTTTATAATCAAAAGAATACAAATTGCAATTACTTTTTATTTTTTCTAATAATAAAAGTAAGTGCATTATATTATGTATTAGTATGTTTGGTAGATAAAATTCTTTGCTACAATTGTTCTGAATATTGTCAAAAATTTTCATGATATTCAATTAATATCGTAAAAACGAAATTAACCTAATAATTATATTAATAATCACCTAATGACAATAGACGTTTTTCTAGTTGAAATCATTGATATGATTTGTTGTTGTTGTTTTTTTTTTATGCTTCTTATATAAAGAACAACTTGATTTTAAACAAAACTGTTATACTATCATACACGATTAAATTTTAAAATTCAAAGTACAGAGCGCTATGGTAATATTATTTTAAAACATATGAGTAGAATAAAAAAATTAAGATAGCATAATATTTGTACAAGTCACGAATCGTATATTAATAATATTTAAAATATAATATTCTGTCCTGTAAATTAATAACACTCGCCACAATAGTGTTTAGTTAGAAAAATATTCATTTTTAATTATCATTTAGTTATTGAGAAATACCAATAAATTTCTTATATATCATGCATAGCGGTAGGACTAAGTTTTTGTAAAATAATATCATAAACAAGATTATCAGAGTACTACGAGTAAATCCGAATGAGCTGATGCGCTTAATCTGCATGAATATGATACTAGTAATATTCTCTCTATACTCGATGTAGCTTTTCCAATTCCCATCACTGAGAAAGAAAATGTAATATTTGTAGGCCTTAATTCCTATTTATTGTTAATTAATTCGTTCGGAAACGAATGAAATTTAAGTTGTTGTTGTTGTTACTTCCACTTTGTGCATCGCCATATATAAATTAGTTCTTAATTATAATATATAAGCTTTATGTTTAAAATGCCATTAAGATGTATGAATTATCAATTAAGAAGAAAAATATATTATTATAAATATTAATAATGATTACCACTAACTCCTTAAAATAACTTCATATTGTTTATATAAACTTTTCACAATCTCCCACACTAATTTTATGAATATATGGTTCATTAGAAGTTAATGTTGTTTATATTTTTATTCACTCGTATAATCTCCACATTCAATTCTTTCATGCAGTGTTGGTATCATTGTGAGAATAGATTTATGTATTTCCTTAAAGTATGAAGTAAACCTATTGCTTGTTATGAAAAACAAAATTATGCTTAAAATATCTAATATTTATTTTTTAAAAAAAAAAACAAAAACTAAAAAAAATTTCACACAATTATTCGTTGGAAAGGCCCTTTAGCAGACTTCTTAGTACGTTTTGAATACAAAAATATTGATTCGTCACTAGAGGCCTAGATTTTATGTAATACTTTAGTATTTGTTTTTTTTAATAATGTTCAATATTGAATCTAGAGTCTTTAATATGGAATATTAGATTAAAAATTTTTATTTAAATGTACCCAAGTGATTTGATTGATTGCCATAAAAAAAGAAAGAAGATATATTAATCTATTTTAATACTTCTTTATAGTTTAATCATTACTTTCATTTTTATAATTCTTTAAAGTTTCTTTAGTAGTTTAGTAGTAACGCTACTTCTTACCATGATAATAAATTTAACATACAAAACAGCATAATTGATTGTAATAATTATTGTTGATTATTGTTGGATTTTATGACCAATATAACAAGATATATTGTTTAAAAAGCCTATTGGTAACGAGTTTTATTGACCGCAAAAACAACTTTGTAATGCGTTAGTGTTTATGAAATTTACGGCTTTGTCATTGGCACTTGATTCCTTAGAATAATGTAATTATCTAATGGTACATATAATTTTGCCTTAAAGATTAACTTTACTTGGAAGTCAATATGCATCTGTCAACATATTTTCTAGGATGGTAAAGTCATTTGTTTACTTATATGCAATTTCTATAATGTGTAGTTAGAATATGTACTTTACTAAGAATCCCATAAGATAATCTATATATATATATATATATATATGTATATATATATATATATATATATATATATATATATATATATATATATATATATATATATATATATATATATATATATATATATATATATATATATATATATATATATATATATGTATATATATATATGTATATATATATATATAGAGTGTATTTTCATTTGAATTTAAATAATCTTTCGTTGCTTATAATTGTTGCATGATATTGATTTTAATCATGTCACATTGTTTTTTATACGCTTTATTAACATTATTATTATCACAAATTGCTATATTTACGTTTCGTTATTTACTATGAATAAATATTATCGATTTAATGCATAAGCGCAACTTCTGATAATTCCAGATCTGATTCTGTTAATTAGACTAGAGGGCATTTTGAATCGACTGCGATGAGGATAATTACTTTATTTATTTATTTATTTTTTTTTTTTTTGGGTTGATTCTAATAATAAGATTAATTATCAACTTTGATTTTTTAATAATAAATTCGCGTTTATATTCATAAATCGATACATAACTTTAGCGCATGATGTTTAGATTATGAAGGGAAAGAAAAATCTTAGAGAGACGGATTATTATAAATTATTTGTACAAGGTGTGTAATTGTTAAACTAGTTGGTTTTTTTTTTTGTTTCAGATGCCAATTATATTTATCTTAAAACTTGATGTAATTTCTATAAAAAAAGATCTGTGTTGTTTAATTATAATAAAATTCTTATTGTCATGTATATATAAGCTTTTCAATTTTCATATAAATAGCGAATAAGCCTCGAGAGTTTAAACAAACAATCTATGTTGAAGGTGATGTTCAGAAGAAAAGTTATCCATTAAATTATTATACGAATGACTGAGTATTATTAAAAAATAAATAAATAAATGAGGGTTCAAAAGATTGCTTACCGCATGTAAACTTTTTGATTTTAAAAACCATTTGAACTTTTTATCTGAAAAAAATTAAAGTGATTATATAAATATGACAATGTCTTTCTTAGAAGTCAGATGGAGTTTGGGAAAGACAAATCGAGTATAACAATGTTATTGGTCTCGTATTACAATAAGATTATGCGCTATCAGCTCGTTATGATGTACATTCGATGATCTCATTCGTGTTTTTCTTCTACAAAAGATCTTGCCTCTTGAGGTTGCTAGCAGAATATCAGTGTTTGTATTTTAATTGTTTGTTAATATGATGAACAATAATCCTCTGGAGAACTCAATTTGTTTATGCTTTATGCTTAATTCTGTGAAAAATTCGATATATACAGTCAAAATTTGTAGTCATGAGACAAAATTATTTAAAAAAAAATATATTTAAACATTAAATAATTAAATATATTTAAACATTAAACATTAAATAATTAATAAAAAATTAAATACATGAATTTTGAACATTATATTTTCTTTACATCGATATGCAATTCTTATTATAGATTAGTTTTTGTATTTATATCTTCCATTTCATTTTACATACAAGGTTTTTATCGGTAAAAAGCCATAAATTAATTATACTTAAATATAATTAAATATGAACAGAGAGACGTGAAACTGTGGGTATTTTGAATTGACAATAATACTAATAATATTATAATAATGTAAAATTATTGCAAAAATAAAAGTATGAAATTTTCTTTACATCTAGGTAAATTTCTAGATAGAATTGGTTAGGCATTTCACAATTCAAATACTACATATTATCTTTAAATTGTTAATACTTTTATCAAAACAAAAAAAGTTTTTCGCAATGTAAAAATTTTATTAATATATTATAAAATATTACAAAATTGAAATTGAGAAATAAAAAAATATTAAAAATTATCAGAATTTTGTTTTAAATATTACTGCATTTATTATTCATCTAAAATATGAAACGCAAAAACATTAAAGTATTAAACAAATTTATTTACTCTATATATTATTCAACTATGATAAATGTATTTCAGCTATTAAAAGAATAAATAAATAATTTTTTCAAAGCTTGTTTTTTTTTTTAATTAAGTATTAAAATTAGTATTTTTTTAACGTTCTTGTGGTCCATCATCAAGTGAAGTGTCGATTGTTTTTTAAAATTTACAATATCATACGATACTTTATTAGTTTGATCGTTAGAGAAAATTATTAAAATAATTTTACTGTTGTTCGTGATATTAATAGAGCTATAATTGATTACAATATTATTTATTTTGATTTTTATCAGTTGAAGAAATAAATGTTTAATTCTTTTCTGTTTTGATTTCATATTATTTATTGTGATATTCAAAGCTTGAAGTACGTTTTTTCAATGATACTGCTTTATAACTAAATAATTTAAAACTTAATTTAATTGAAAGTATGCCATAATTATGTATATTAAACTTTCAAATTAAAATGTAAAAATTGAATTTTTTGTTCGATGCATGGATTCATTAAATGATAACCAACAAAAGTACAAAAAAGTTTAAAAGTATTTTTTTAAAGATATTTTATTAAAGTTTGGCAGAATATTTTATTGTATTCCTTACTAAAATGTTATAACAGTGCACAGTAGTTTTCAATTAAAATAAATGATCTCAAAATCTATTAATAAAGCATTAAAACGACATAACAAAGTTTTATCCATTAGTTTTATTAGTATTTTTAATTTCGACTAATAGTTTCGAAATTAATTAATAAACACATATTACAATTATTGATGTGAGTATAACAAATGAATGATTAGTTTTATTATTTTAAGATAATTAATTACAATTATACAGTTTTTATGATTATAATAATGAATAAAACGAGTTTTCTTAAGAATATATTTTTTTCTAATATTGATTGATTATTAAAGATAACTTGTATGGAAAATATTTATTTTTTAGTTATTTTTTAGCTACTTTTATTCATACTATACGTATTTATTTGTTTTGCATTTGGATTTAATTAAACGTGTTGTTAAATTTACTTTACTGTTTTTATCATTTATCATTAACATTATTGTAATATTAAATGATATTAAATACCAAAACAATCCTTTGCTTTTAAATAGACATGCCGAATTTCTTTCTTTCACAAGCAATTCGTGACTTGATTAAATGAGTATTTTAATTGCGATGTTTTTATTACAAATCGATAATAAAAACTAAATAAAAAAAATTAAATATGCGATATTATTAAATTTTATAAATAATTGCGTAACAATGCTTTAAAACTTAAATACCGTGTGTGTTTCATTTTTAAATTATCATCCGTCTTTCTTCCGTACAGATATCAAGCATTTTTGCTTAATTTCAGCATTCAACATTTCAAATGTTACAGTTGAACATAACAAGTGCTTTTTTTTTGGTCACGATTTTTCCAATACAATACATGTCGTAACTTTCATGAAATATATAACATTTTAACTCAACTTATAGGATTTCTTATTTTTCTTTAAATACTATTGTACTCAATATAAATATTTGTTGGACAGCTCAAAGATACTTGATAAACTTCTATCTAAAATAACAGAATAGATCAATTTATGAAGAATATTATATTGCATAAAACGTTATATTCCTTAAAAAATAACAGAATGGTCATTGTTCACTTGAATGCGAAAAAGTTTATTCAATGCAATTATAATATTTAGTTTATTTAATATAAAGCAAACGTTCATTATTTAAATGAGCATCACTTTTAAAATAACGAGAAACGATTTTATGAAACTAAATACACACGTTAATTTGTTTATAATTATTATGTAGTTTTTAAAAAGTTATTTCCGATTATCAATGCATTTGTATAATTATTGATGCTTAAAACTAGTAAACGCCAATGAATCTTAATCAAATAGATAAATTTTCAACCATTTCAACTTTTGAACTATATTGTTTTAGCGTACTAATTTCATTAGCATAATCGTTTACTTATTTCCTAATGACCGTATGATTATTACCAAGTGATTTTAATAGAATGTAAATTTACTTTATAAATTGAAATTATGGCGGTATATTTGTCGTGGAATTAACGTCGATGTTCGACATATTTAGTGCATGCATACCCATTAATAAATTTGGGTTTGCAATAAAAAAAACTCATTCAAGTAATCGCGTTAATAAACTAAAGCAACGTAAAGCCTAGATCGATACATTTATCCACTTCTATTTTAATCGGCTAGATGATTAATTCGTTAAATAGCTTGGGCAACGAAATAGAATAATATTCTACAAATTATTTTAAAAATTCCGGCAGCCCGTCGTGAACACGGAGATTAAGGGCACGGGGACGGCGACGTTAACGACAAGGACACCGGACTCGATGATCACTACATCGAAGCCACCGACCACGAGGGCGTCAACTAAGTCCTCCCCCAGCAAACCCTCGTCCCGGGGCTCGGAGGAGCAACCACTTTATCGCCTGAACGGTAGCAACGGCCAGGCCTGCATCCTCCTTCAGGTTGATGCCATCATCACCGTCAAATACAAAACAACTCTAGGGGAGGAACAGGTTCGTGTACCATATGTCACCGAGGAAAATCTCGGATATCAACTAATTAAGGCACGCGAATATAAACCATTTTTATCGTCTAAGGCTTTTTAGAGTGGCGAGCCAATTAAGATTATTTAACGATGTCATTATGTAGATATACTGTAATCTACTGCTGTTATATACTTGGACTAACCGTTCGATTTTTAAAATAATGACAATACGACGTTCGAGTGATAAAATTTTCATTCTCGATTTATTTTTATTATTAGCAACTTATTATTATATATCGGTCACTTAGTCGTATCGTTTTATTAAGTAAAGTACAATAGCCCTGGATGTACATTTCATTTCAAATATTACCGAACTGTTCTAATTTTTACAGTATAAATTGGCAAATTCAATAGGCCAAATTTAAAAGAAATTTATCAAAATGTCATCATTTAATTTAAAATGAAAGCTTTTTATTGCAACATGTTAAATTACCTGTCAGCGACATTTTAACGCGATCGTTACATATAATCATTTATTTTTATAACAATTAACAATTTTTAATAACAGATATAAACATTACATGAACAATAATTTCACATTGTTTGTGTTTTTATGAATACGTGATTAAATTTATCGATATTTCTAAACTGCAGATGAAATTCTGAAATAATATTATTTCTGAATTGACAAGCAAGACTTTTAGTCTTAATTCTTAATTTTATTATAAATGTTGAAAATTTAACAAGTATCTATCAGCACATGTAAAGCAAATTATTTATTCATAATAATGGCGTTGATATACTTATTTAAATTTATTAATGATAAGATAAAATATAATATGGCAATAGTTATGAATGAAACCAAAGTGAAATCAATAAATACATTTGTTGGTATGAATTGCTTCGAATATAGCAAGTCGTGGCTTGGTAAGATTCTATTATTGATATTCTCTTTTTCAATATTACGCCCGTAACTGAAATAAAGAAATTTTTAATTTTTGAAGCACTGCCATTGATTAAGTTATTTACCTAATCGATTATACGCGAAAGAATAAAATTTATACCACATACCACTATAATTTATATGGACTTTGAGCTCAAGAAAATTGCTGTATCGTAAGACAGAATTAATTTTAAACATTGCATTATTAATGTATAAATATTATTAACACGATTCATTGTTAATTATACAAATTGGAAATGACTCTTTAAATGTCGTATGCTAAATGTATGACGTTAAATTTTACATAATTTATAATTAAAATTGTAGACTAATATACAGTTGATACGACATATTGCAGCTAACGTCGACTGTTACGTGCTACATGTCGACATTAAGCATAATCGACTAATTAAGTTTTCCATTCGGAGTTATCCTTTTCATCATAATTATTTAATTCATTATTATTATTATTATTATTATCGTCACTATTATTATTATTGAAATATTAATTAATTTTAATAATAAATGTAATTGCTTACTTTATTATTAAGTAGAATATTATATTACTTACTTTCATAATAGTCGTATGTAATTTATAGAATGTTTGTAAGAGCTTGAAATAAGGATGTTTCCTAATACATTCAGTTTAGATTATTCTAGAAAATTCATAATAATTTTGTTATAGCACAGAAAAATTAACGAACACAAATAATACACTAAATAAATAATGCAACAAACAATAAATTGAAATTAGTGAAAAAATGAAAAGTAAGAGGGATTCCTGTATTACATATAAATAAATGTATTTGACCTGACTCGGTGATTTTCGGTTTAATAATGAGATTTATTATTCTGTATGAGTATGCCAATGATGAATATATAAAACGGATAATACATTCAGTCGCTAATTGAATAGTGTTACGAAATTTTCATTACTACGATTATCAATAAAAAATGGAAGGTTTTTATTACGTCAAACATTTAATTTTTGGAAACATCAATTTGCTAAATTATTTTAATAATCTACTGCTACAATATTACTTTGTATTATCTACTTTTTTTTTTTTTTTTTTTTTTTTTTTTTTAATAAAGAAATTATTAAATTATACTCCAATAACTAAAACATATAAATATAAAAAGGAAATTTTAAATTTCATGGAATCGCCATTGGATAATTTATGTATTAAGCATATTAATTTAAAGGAGAAATTATCTCTTTTCTAACTAATATAATCTAACCAATTCTGATAGCAAATTATTTACAAAATGAACACATATAGTATACGTATGGTAGCGAGTAATAATATATATATATAAATATAAACATAGTAAATAAATCAAATAAAATTCTTTAGGTATTCATATATTACTTTAAATGATTTTTAATTTGTTATTAATGGCAATCACATTATTTTGTATTGATTAAATGAGAAAAAAATAGTTTTCTACTTTTAATGATTTTTCTGTAAATAATCAGTATAGTCTTTTGTCATACAATTAGTAAAAATAAAAAACTTTATATTGCATTAAATACTTATATAAATACAACTTATATAATACTTATATAAGTTGTTGGTAATAAATGCGATTATACATCGCATAGAATAGAGTTTTGAAAATAAAAGCGAATATCATTCTATGAGAATAGCTTTCCTTAAAATTTGAATAGAAATTAAATAATTGAATATTACAAATTGTCTATTCTATCGTTAGTAGTTTAATTTAATATTTATTGAAACAATCAATTTTCGAAAATAAATTACAGCATAATCTCTACATTAGTCTACATTATAATCTTTTACCTTTAATGATATAATTTTTAATATATATATATATATATATATATATATATATATATATTTGATTTACCGATTACTTTACAATTTATTCGAATAAATGTTTAATGTTCGAAAACATTGTGCTTCAGGAAGCTGATTTTTATATACCAAATGGCGCTACGGTCACTGGCAATTGCGATAGTGAAAATTACGCCATAATGTCACTAAAATGGGATGCGTTTGTTCTTTCATGGAGTTTCAGTAAGGTATTTGTATTATACATAATCTTTAAAGAAAATATGAAATCCAAATGTATAAAATCAATTAGAATATCTTTTATTAATATCTAGAACGAACCTTTTAAAGCATAATTAATTCAATTTCTTAGCACATTTAAATAATAATAATATTTGTTATTTAATATTTGTTATACATATCATGTATATATGCGAGATTTTTCTTACTTTTTCTTATTGACAAAAATTTTCGATTTTTTGTTTTTTGCCAACTTTTTAAATCAACAAATTTTTATTTTTGAAATAGCATTATGCTTCGGGAAATTTTAATTAGAAAATTTCAATGATAAATTGTTGTTTAAGTTGACATATTAGCATAGTATAATTTCTATAAATGATATTTCATAAATTTGAAAGATTGGATAGAATTAATGTATGACTTTGATTAACCGCCATTAGATTTATGAATACGAAATTAATAAGATGAATTAATAAATAAGATTAATAAGATGAATTAATAATCTACAAACTTTTTGATCAATATTTGTGCATTGAACAACAATTAAACATCAAGATTGCAATGTTAACCATATTTAATAGAATATTACGCATTTTTACCAATAACATATGGACTGTAGAAGAAAAAAAATATAAATATTATTAAACTAATCTTAACGTTGCTTCAATTATATTATTTATGACACACTTTGATATTTATTTGAAACTATTTTTCTAATAATTTGTAGACTCCTGGTAATGAAAAATGGTATGTCGATAAGATCGAGCTGACTTATAACTCCAGCGACCGACATTTCGAACATATTGATCAACCAAGTAAGTAATTGTCATCCATACAACTACATTACCTTACTACTATCCATATGCCTAACTACATATCCATACATTACATTACTCTACATTACCTAGCACATATAATAATAACCCGTAATTCATTTTTTTAATTTTAACAATAAATAGAATAATTCTATTTACAAAAATTTTAACATATTTAACTATAGGCTTTTATTATATGTCGCTATTATAATTGCGGAGCTAGTTCAGCTGTTATAAATATGAACAAAATTTTCAGATCGAACGATAAGATTGAGTACAGCAAAGAAGAGTGCGACATTGTTTCCGACGCCCGTCGGAAAATCTTATTCCTGTTCCAAGGAGCAAGAAATTTATCTCACGGATGGTAAAAATCGAGCAAGCATATTATTAAGGTAATTTAACGTTTTTCCGTTAGTAGGGCAATTAAAGAGGAACGAAAGATAAATCAACATTATATCGAAAAATGAATGAAGTCATTTAATAAATCAAAGGACAAAAAGTTGAATACTTATTATAGTATGGCTGTGACTTTTGAAGTTTTAATTTTTTTTCTTTTTTTCTTGTAAACATGTTTTAATCCAAGCCCGTAGACAGATGCATTATGAGTGCATTTCAAAATTTTCAGTTATAAAATTACAAAATTAAAAATTCTAAGTAGCTGTCCGATAACGCAAACGTCCAATAAGCTCAGCTAAATCGAAGCGACTTATCTCGAAAGTAGTGACGTGGCTTTTCAATTCGTTCAAACGGCGCCTAAATTTTCCGCATAGATTGAAATCCGAGGTCACGTAACATGGGGTATCGCTCGTTCGACGAAGTTTGACTCGCAGATCGTTTGCTGGCCCGTTCGGAGCCTTTCAACAGATTTCAGCGGGGAATCGGTTCTTTCTAAGACAGATGTGGGGAAAAAGCCAACACTCGCGCTTGCTTGGCTTTCCTTCCGAAGAGCGGACCGCCCGAGATTAAAGAGGAAAAATGTTATTTTGCAGAGACATGAAACTACAGCCGTTCAAGTTCAAGAACAACGACTTCGCGATAGAGTTCCCGTGCAGCGCCCTGAGCGCCCAGGCCGGAAGGGACGAGACGGCCCCAGTGGCCGTCGGCTCGGCCCTCGCCGCAGCCGTCCTTCTCACCATAACCGGATACGCTGGCTGGCGATATTTCAAGGTTAAGAAGGTCAAGTACGATACGATGGAGTAGGCGCGAGTTGGAGGTTGGCGTATCGACGACCGATAGCCGCTCGATTTGTTTGGGAATTCGGATAGGAGCGAGCGGGAAACGCGGCTCGGATCGTTGGAAGTTTCCTGCTGGCGTTAAGGTGGTAAGGTATTGATTGTACGTACAAATGCTTCTGCGATATTTTGCCGAGCAAAGTTTACGGATTTATTCTATTATTCTAAGATATTTGTTTGTTATGGCGTGTTAATCATTATTGTAAATTCTATTTCATAATGATGTGTGGTACGGCACGTCGAGTGACTGTTACGATTAAACTAACTCGTTCAATTAGTATAATATTGTACGTTCAAGGAACGGAAAATTCGCAAACTCTGAAGGGTTGTATGTATAGGAATATCAAAGTGCAGGCAATTTCTCGAAGCCTTTCGATCTGTCAAATTCAAATCCATTTTACTTTAGTCGCCTCGCCGACGTCTATCCCGAAATGCTATGTACTTGCTTGATCAATGTTTATTTTAGCGCCGAATATATGTATCATGTGTAACGTCCTTGTCTTATCATATTAATAAATTATAAATATCGTTGAATGATAACGCTCTCCTAAAAAGGAAACGCCCTATGTTTAAAACAATGTATTCGCATTTATAAAATATAAGATGGATTGGGCACGCTGGCTTTATGCTTTAGTAAAAACAAAAATTCATTCTTTTAAACACTTTGATAGCTAGTCAAAGGCTACAATTGAATTTATTTAATAACTGGCTAGTAGAAATATTTTCTACGCGATGGAAAATTTATCACTTTTTTTTCCCTGAACGTTACATAAACAGGGTATACTTTCATTGTATAAGTAATAACAATTGTTTATTTCTTGTAAATTTTGAGATAAGATTTCTTTAAGGGAACTTAAGAAAATAAAGTATTTAAGCTAATAGTTATAACATTATATAATGTAAAAGATTTATTCAGTGCAATGTTAATTATTTCATTGACAAATTCATAATGTCTATAAATTAAAAAATTGTTAAATAAATGATTAAAATATATTTAAAACAAAAACAAACAAAAAAAATACAAAAAAAAATCGCAGATGCAATATAATTGAACGATTCAGAAGAAGAAAAATAAGTTTAATAAAATACGAAAACCACCATTTATAGTATGTCAATTTTATTTATATCAACGAAATCTCGACAAATGTATGAAAAATGAATGATAAAAAAATGAAATTAAATCCTATCATCAGATTTTATATAAAATACTACAAGTACAATGGGTATGCATGATGAATTGGGCTTTGTACATAATACGAGCAATTTACCCTACATATTTACGTACTTATTATTATATTATTGTGGCAAAAAATGAAACTTGCATATCTATAATATAAAGAACCTCTGTCTTCCAAACATATGATCTACATAAAATTTATGAATACACATAAAAAATTTTATCTATATTTCTTGTGTACATGCGATTCTCCTACACGTATGTAATTATATAAATATTCTATATAAAGAACATTTAATATATATAAATATTTAAGATTGCATATCGTTTTAAAAAATGTCAATTTTGTCAATTCATAAATATTGTATAAGATGTAAAAGTAAAACAAACTTCAAATTGTGTTACCATTATACTTTACAAATATACTAAAAAATCTTTGCAAAAACTCGACATAGTTACGCGCGAGATATCGTTTAGTTTTCTGAAAGTTTTGGAAAAGCTAATTATCATCGGGCGTCAAATTTTATTGAAACTTTTCTCGCTGAAAATTAAAATGTGAAATTATTGCGCCAAATAGCTTGTCGAGACTTGTGCTAAAGAAACTGAGCAAATCCATACAGCGTACGATATTTTATGTAACTATATATGATATCAAGTCAATCTGACACATTTCAAAAATCTACTACGATAAACAAAACATTGATCTTCATTGTACATGAATAAAAAAAGAAAAAGAAAAAGAAAAATGTATTTTTATGCTTTAACTAATTTCATAAAACTCGTGTAATATTATTAAATTAAAGAGTTACAAAATAGAATAACAGAAATTAAAAATTACATATATTTCATATTAGCCGTAATATAGTAGATGTCATTATAATTGTAACAGTTGGAATAGTTTCTTACGTTAAATTGTCCTATATATTATTTCACTAAATATTAATAATTTTTCGTTAACTTGTGACGGCTACTCAATATAGTACTGTTAATGATTGAAGATAATTGTAAAAGTTGGCGCTGAAAGTAATGAAAATTACTAAAGAATTGTAAAAGTAGGCATTACCCTGATTGTTATTATTAATAATTTAATTGTTGTTAGGAGCTTTCATTTGATTCATTGATTCAATCCGCTTATTAATTTGTTTCTTCATCGTAATTTTAACGGAAACATTGGAAAGTAATAAATCATCATAGTCAGTATATGCAACGTGGCGTTGCAGTTAAATACTGTATATAAAGTACGTGTAATTGATAATTTGTAATAAAAAATGCCATATTTTAAGACACCAAAGCTGACGATGAGAATAGGACATTTGGACGAATGAGACGACTATTAGTTAATTGACATTCGCTAGTTTAAGCATCGTAAAGCAAAAAGTAAGAAATTGAATAGGATGATCATTGTGAAGTTTCACTTCCACAGCCAAATTGGGAGTAAATACACGGAATAATGCAATGAAAGAATTAGTTGGTTGGTTGGCTTTAGAGTGCGCAGCGAGTATGGTATCAACGAGTAGCCGAATTGCTGCGATAATATGCATCCACAGCGTGAAGCATCCACTCGAAATTATACTACATGGCTTTATTAGGAGCTGCCAGAATATAAGTGGAGGGTCGATGTGTGCGCTCCCTTGTCGAAGAAAGAGAGCGTAACCGCGCCAGGGTGGGGAGACGACGAGGAGGACGGTATTGTGGGGCTGTTTTTGGGAGGGAGGGAGGGGGGCGAGGTAAAGCTCGTGGAGATAGATACATCCGGAGTGCAGATGCTGTTTTGGCGCGAGGAGGGCGTGAAAAGTACAGTCGGTTGAAAGGAAGGATCTCCGCCTTTTTGCGCAAGGCCCCGTTGCAGCTCTCAGGCGTCGTGCGGTTCATTGTGAGGCCCGTTGCCCATTGAGACCGCGGGCGGACCAATAGCGTCATTGTCCTCGGAGGTCCTAATTCCACGCTCGCGGGCGAGCCTCGCCGCTTCTTCCCATCAGCACGGGGATTAACGGCTAATCGGGAGGATCGCTCGCGCGATCGAATTAACGATTAACGAGGCCCAGGAATTTAACGAGCGGCCCGCGGTGTCCGGTGTCTCCAGCCCCGGACTCGTTATTCGCGCTATCCGCAATTACCTCCCAAAAACAACCCTCGAGCTTTTATAAATTATAGGCCACCGTCCCCTGGCGCACTCCTACATCTGTCGCGCCGACGCCCGACGCTGCCAATTATTACGTAACTCCTTCCTACAATCACGTGTCTTCCATCACCGGGCTATTCCTTATGACACTGCCTCGTCTCTGTCCCTATATCTGTCTGTTTATGTCATTTAATTAGAATGGATGCGCAATTTAGCGACAGGGGTAGGGCACGAGGGGAGCGCACACTCCTTGCTGTTTCTTTTCAATTTTACCCGGCCCGCGTTTATTTATGGCCTTCACGCATGTTTCCGATCATTTGGACCTTCGCACTTGACAAGGTACTTGAGAAACCTTTTCTACAGATTTTGTCACACTTTTTACAGCCAGTCGCATTCGATAAGCTGCTTTTTTTTTCATTCATTCATACATTCTTTCTTTCTTTCTTTCTTTCTTTCTTTCTTTCTTTCCTTCTTTCCTTCTTTCTTTTTTCAGACATTAGAGTAGCATCGGGCTCGTATTAAGTTAGGCTTTTCGCGCTATTTTCTTTCCTTTTTTTGCCTCTCAAAAGAAAAGCCTACATTTTACGTATTTGAAATGCGCAACGAGCTTAGGGAGATAAGATTTACAATTTTATTGTTGTTAAAATAACGAAGTCAACGTGGCTTATACGACGGTACGAAACTTTATCATAAGTGTTTCCAAGTATTGCATACGCATACCAATAAAATATTAATATTTACAAAATATTAAGAGAAGGTGTCACATTTAACGAAGTGGATTAATTGGTATTCAACTTTTTATATTTTTATACTGTTGAAGAGCTTATGACGCATGACTAACGGTGATAAACGAAAATGTTTCTAGTTTCTGATGAGCACTGCAAAAGTCGCGGAACAAACAAGTGAAAAGGTATTTATACTTTATTTATTTTCCCACCAATGTAAACGACCCTGTAACATTTATATCGCTAACTGCTTTAAAGATAAATTGCGAGACGACGAGTACAACCACACGGAATATTATTTATAGCCATTAAATTCCTCGGCCTATAAACATTTATGTCATTCACGTGAGAAGTGGAAAAATAAAAAAAAAAAAATATGGAAAGACACGTTTACATGAAGATTTGTCTAACTACGATATTCTATCATACCTTGAATTTTGATACTTTTGGGTAATGAATGAAACGATGCATTTCATCTATCCAAAAGAGATCAGCGAGCACTTTATTGTCCATTGCTTGACACCTTCTTAAGAAATGTTCTTTTTTTAATATTTGTGAAGATTCTGTCTAAAACCATTTAAGAATTATTTATTAATGGAAAGCACTGTCATTCAAAAAAAAAAAAAAAAAAAAAAAAAAAAAAAAAAAGAAGAACACGAAATTTCTCACAAGCTAGAACAGGGAGTTAAGTACAGCGAGTACAACCGTCATTTATCATTATCAATCGTGACATTAACTACGAAATTCTCAATATCGTTGTTCTAATTACCATATTATCCATATTGACCAGAATTTCAAGCTAACGCAAATATGTTACGTAAACTCGCCAAACAAGCCAACGATTCTTTCTTTTTCAAATAAACCATTCTGCAATTAACTAATCTCTATATTGTACATCGAACATTGCAGATTTAAGCTAAAATTATAAAGCATTTATATTATACGGATATCTAATAATTTACGGATAGTCTGGATTTTTCCCGCTGCAGCGGACTATAATCAAAGCATTAAATGTAGTGTCGGATAGCACTCGTCGAGCGCACATGAATGATTACAATGATTCGTGGTAACCATGTCAATATCAGTATGTGATTAGCGAGTAGGTGTT